AAAGAGAAAGTCACTCCAGCCATGTCCCTGCTTGCCAAACATGTGTCTGTCTGTCCTACCAGCCTCCAAAGGTGATCTGAGCACACTTCTAGAAGACTTTTGCATCTGGGCCGTGGTATAGGAACTTGCGCTCAACTAGGAGACCTGTGTTTCCATTCCAGCTCAGCCACTTGCTAACTGTGTGGACAAACGGCTTTGCCACTCTGAGCCTGCCCCTCTGCGGCAGTTTTTTACCCGCCCCATTGGGAACCCTAACTCTTCTTCTCAGGACTATTTGAAGGTGATGAAGTCATGTGATGCCCTTGTTTCTCTGTCTCTTCACAGGCAGCCAGGGCTCAGGCTGCTGCCTGGGTCCCCTTTCCCACGGTCGATGTTCCAGACTACGCCCACTACACCCTGGGCACGGTGATCCTGCTGGTGGGGCTCACAGGGATGCTGGGAAATCTGACGGTCATCTATACCTTCTGCAGGTGCCTGGTTGGCAGGATGGGGGCCTGGGCACTGAGGGCAGCCAGCCATGCAGAGACAGGGCAGAACACAGGGTGGAAATTCTGGTGCCAGCAGTGCCAGGGCACTGTTGAGTCTGGGTAGGGAGGCCAGGGCCAATGGTCTCAGGCTCAGGCCTCCATCTTCAAACCCAGGAAAGGGGCCCAAATGTAATCCAGGGCAGCTTGAATGGCACATTTAATTGGGCCCCAGGCACACCGTCTGTGTAGGGTATGTGTCCCTATGACACACACGTCTCTGCCTATTCTTCCCTGCTCTCGGCTCACCTCCACCATCACCTGTCCCAGTGGGCACCCTCCCTCTGCCTCAAAGAGCAGCCCTGGTACCAGGGTCCTGAGTCCTCAAGCCCTTCAGCAACCAGCCCTGGCCACCACCCTTGGCTTCCTTCCCTACCTGCCCCACTCGCCGCCTGAATGGCTGAGCCAGGCACGTGGAGAAGTGAACTCCTGGCTCTACCACCCATTAGCTGAAACGACTTGAGCAGGTTACTTATCTTCTTTGAGTCCACTTTTCTTGTCTGCAAAATGAAGTTGTGATTTACTTCATGGAGTCAATGTGATGATTAAGTAAGTTTTTATATGTGCAGTGCCCAGCAAATGAGTGAATCCTGGCTGTGTCACTGACTGAGTCTTGTGACCGCAAGCCACTTCATGGGTGGGAGCCTCAGTGTTCTTATCTGCAAAATGAAATGGGGTGAGAGGGTAGATGTGAAGACGGATGATTATGGGAGACGAGGTTTGTGAAAGTACCTGGCCTGTGGGCACCATCGTCAACTCCTGTCCCCTTTGCCAGCCCCGAAGGTGAGGACTGCAGGGACACTGGCAGAAGGGGGACAGGAGAGGCATGAGTTGCTGCCTTGAGGGGTTCCACTTCTTAGCCCACAATGCCAGGCTCCAGAGCTGTTTGGCTGGTACTTGCTGGGCAGCGGGATGGGCCTGTGGGCCAGCAGCTCGTGCCTGTGTGCAAGCATACACATGTGTGCACATGTGTTTGAGGGAAGCTCCCCAGCAGAAGCGCCTCCTGACGGTTTCTGACCCCTCACAGGAGCAGAGGTCTCAGGACACCTGCCAACATGTTCATCATCAACCTCGCAGTCAGTGACTTCCTCATGTCCTTCACCCAGGCCCCCGTCTTCTTCACCAGCAGTGTCTATAAGCAGTGGCTCTTTGGAGAGACAGGTAGACATTTGGGGCTCCCTTTTGCTGGAGGGAGGAGGTGGGTTGGGACAGGGGATGTCCACGGTGGAGGGTGGCCCAGATGAGAAGGCGATGTGCTCTTCCTGGGCAAAGAGTGGGTAGTCACCCTCAGTCTCATGAGTTAGCAAGAGGATTCCGTGAGCCTCTGTCAGATGCATGCAGGCGGGGTGGAGAGCAGCTAGGCCTGATTTCCTTGAGAGGCGAGCGTGGGAGCTGAGTACACGCAATCCACAGACCCTCCTTCCCCTGGGGTATCTGATGAGCTCCCTGCCAAGGACTGAGGTCAGGGAGCTGTGCCCACAGGCTGTGAATTCTATGCCTTCTGTGGGGCTGTCTTTGGCATCACCTCCATGATTACCCTGACGGCCATCGCCCTGGACCGCTACCTGGTCATCACACGCCCACTGGCCACCGTCGGGATGGTGTCCAAGAGGCGGGCGGCGCTTGTCCTGCTGGGCGTCTGGCTCTACGCCCTGGCTTGGAGTCTGCCGCCCTTCTTTGGCTGGAGTAAGTGGGCTCAGGGAATCAGGGGAAGGGAAGATAGGCTGGGAGGGGTATGTTCAAGGGGCAGGTAGGTGGACTTGGGTTGACCAGCTGGCAGGAGGGGCCAATGGACTGCTTAAGTCTCAGAGCAAATGGACACTCAGGGGGCATGACTAGCAGCAGGGGGAACTGGGGCTGTACCATCAACAGTCAGAGGATAACCTGGGCTCCCATCCCCAAATGCAGAGGGGAAGACCGTGTGGTTCCTGGCTGGCGGGAAGTGACAGGTGCATCTGATGCTGAGTTTGCAATGAGTCAGACAGACAGGAATTGGGGTGTGAGGCCTCAGCAGGTAGGAGGGTCAGCAGCAAGGCACCCGCCCTTCTGAGGCAGGACCAGGAATCTGGCTGAAGTCTTGGGGGAGTAAGACCCTGGGGCTATGGTGAGGTCTCTCTTCCAAACTGGCAAGATTGGGCGGCAGTGGACTTTGCCAGCTGTCTCCTGTTAGAACCAGCTTGGAAAGCTCCCCTCCGGCTTCCTCACTCCACTGGGCAGGGCTGGGGCCGGGGCCAGTGTTTGAGAAGCTCAGACCCCACATCCAAAGCCCCTGCTGGATGAGGAGCCTGAGCCAGCGCCGCCCTGAAGGCTGAGCACCCGCCCCTGGTTCCCAGGTGCCTATGTGCCCGAGGGGCTGCTGACCTCTTGCTCCTGGGACTACGTGAGCTTCATGCCATCGGTCCGCGCCTACACCATGCTGCTTTTCTGCTTTGTGTTCTTCCTCCCCCTGCTCATCATCATCTACTGCTACATCTTCATCTTCAAGGCCATCCGGGAGACGGGCCAGTAAGAGCTGGGCGTGAAGGAGGGGCTCCATGGGAGGGGGGCTGTGCCCCTTGGCCAGGGCTGCCCGTGACTCACATCTGTACCCACACCCCGGGGCACTCCCAGCCCCAGACGGGCAAAGACCAGCTCAGTACATGTGCTTATGGGATGGGGTGCCGGAAGGCCAGTACAACCTGGGTGCTTAGAAGAGTCTCAGGAGGCAGGGTCTCCTGAAGCGTGGGCCTTCAGCCTTGGTCAGGGGGTGTGGTGGGGAGAAGACACGGCAGGCAGAAGTGCAGGGAGGCAGCTTAGGCTGTGGATATACTGGGGAACTTTCTGGGAGTCAGGGCTGCCTGCCCTGGAAGGGATGGCCGGGTCCAAGAAGGCTCCCTGACAGCAGGCATGACCCTGGCCCTCACTGCAACCCGAGTGGGGTCAGACCCAGACTCTGCATGCTTTCTAGAGCTCTCCAGACTTTCGGGGCCGGCGAGGGTGGTGGTGAGTGCCCCTGGCAACGGCAGCGTCTGCAGAACGAGTGGAAAATGGCCAAGATCGAGCTGTTGGTCATCCTTCTCTTCGTGCTCTCCTGGGCCCCCTACTCCACTGTGGCCCTGATGGGCTTTGCTGGGTGAGGGGCTGGGGCAGGGGCTGGAAGGGTGGGGGAAGGGGAAGGGGACCCTGAGGCAGCCTCTCCCTCCCCGGCCCAAGCCCAAGCCAGCCGTGCTCACACCCTAGGTCCAGCCTCACAGGCTTATTGTCCCCCTGCTATGAGATGCCCCACGGGAGCCAGGCCTGTCTCATTCCTGGAGGCACTAGGAGACATGCTGGGGGAGTTCTGGGCCACACTGGCTTTGGTTTGAGGGCCTGCAAGGGCTGCCAGGTCCTGCCAGATCCCTTGGGAATATGCAACTTTGCCTGAGGTTCTGGTTTCCTCTTCACCCAGACTGTGGGCACACAGCCGGGGTGCTACTCACCTCCCGCCCTCTAGTCCTTTGTGGCTAGAGTCTGCGGACTCTGCTACCTGCAGCAGCATGGAGGCAGGCCAGACTTCAGGAGCACTTTGAGACAGTGAGAACTATGAGTCCTTGCAGGTGCTTGGGTATGAGACCTTCTCCTTGTGCAGGAACGGCCTGGTCCCCTCCGGGGCCCTCCTGTGCTGTTACTCTCAAGGAGCCAGGGGCGCAGCAGGCATCAGGGTTCGGCGGGGCATGGGGAGAGCTGGGCAGAGGGCCAGGGTCATTGGGGGTGGGGAGGGTTTACTGCCAGCAGCACAGGCTCCAAGGGACAGTGGGACCTGGCGAAACCCCCAACCTGGCACATCTTCTCAGCACCCCTCCCTCAACTGCTCCCTGGGTTCCCACTCCCCTCAGATCAGGATTCTCCCTGGCATTGCAGTCCCTCCCCCGGGGATGACTTGGTCATGCTGGTTTAGACCAGGCTGGGCTGTGCCCTGGCAGGGCTTGGTTGGCCTATGAAGAAGTTTCCTGAGAGGGCTGGTGGGTTGTGGAGTCCCCAGGGAGGGCCAGCTGGCAGAGGGACCACAGCTTCTCTGTCCTAGGTACGCACATGTCCTGACGCCCTACATGAACTCGGTGCCAGCTGTCATCGCCAAGGCCTCTGCCATCTACAACCCCATCATTTATGCCATCACCCACCCCAAGTACAGGTGTGGCCCTCTGCCAGAACCCAGCCCCAGATCCCCAGTCCCACCCTCAGGGGCATAGAGGGCCTGGGCCTATAAATGGGGGCAGGGGCCAGCCATCTTTCCTGTCCCTTGTGTACATGCATTGGGTGGGGAACTCTAGCAGCTGAGAGCAGCCAGTGACACTGGATGGGATCTGGAGCTGGTGTGACCCTCTCTGCTGTCCCAGCTTCCTAGGAGGCTCAGCTTGGAGGGACATCAGAGTTCCCTGGGCAGTGTCCAGTAGTAACTGGGATTTTCAGAGCTAAGGCCAAAAGGCAGCCAGGATGGCTGACCAGCAGTGCTGCTTGCTACAAAGAGAGGCCCCCAGACAGCGGCAGCCTGGAGAGATCACAGCAGGGAGAGCTCCACTGCACTTCAGGGGCCCTGGCAGAGGCCTGGGGCTTGTTCTGGCCCAGAGTGCTCTCTGCTGATAGAATCCCAGCACAGCTGGCCTCTTCCACGAGGGGGCCTTCAGTGCTTCCTTTTGCCTGGTGGTGTCAGTAACTCAGCACCCTGCTGAGGCCAGCTGTAGGCCTTAGCCCATCCAGCTCAGAGGCGGCTCAGGAGCGTTCTTGGTCCCCATTTGCAGAAATGTGGCTTAGGTCAGCCACTCGAGAACCGAAAGCAAGCATCTGGCTGAACCTGCCACCCTAAGGCTCTCGCTCCATGCCCATGGACCCAGTGTCTGTCTGCCCATCCTCATAACCCCAATGTCTTTACGTCCCCAATTCCCCAGAGGCTCTTTGTCCACTCCCATTAGCCCAGTACCAGTCTGTCCATCCACCCCCATCTCCTCAAGTCTGTCTGTCCATCCCCCTAACCGGATGTGCTGTCCTTGCAGAATGGCCATCGCCCAGCACCTGCCCTGCCTTGGGGTGCTGCTGGGCGTGTCAGGCCAGCACACTGGCCTGTACACCAGCTCCCGCTTCACCCACCGCTCCACACTGAGCAGCCAGGCCTCGGACCTCAGTTGGATCACTGGACGGAGGCGCCAGGTGTCCCTGGGCTCTGAGAGCGAGGTGGTAAGGAAGCTGGGCCCTCACTGACTGGCACCTCACCATCCTTTCCTCTGGGCGGGGCTGCCTCTGAGACTCAGGGACCCTCAGGAACCTGGGATGCTGGCAGGAAGAGCCCCTCACCACCACCGCCCCCCACGGCCTTCCCACACACCATCGTCCCTGCCAGACAGGGGCACTGGGGTCAGAGAGGCAACATGTTGGCACAGGGTCACCCAGCAGCAGGGCCAGGACGAAACATGGGTCTTCCAACTCCAGGCCGCCTCTCTTCCATGCCAGCACTATCCCAGGGCCTTAGAGCCTCAAATTGCAAAGACTAGCATTTCTCACCCTAGATGGGCCTCTAGAGAGACAGGCAGGAGCTAGCTCAGGACCCTTCACCCTCAGCATTAAGCGCCCTCCTCCTGGAGCTCACAGGATACAGTGGAAGGAGCACTGGCTCTGGAGTCGGGGGACCTATGTTCAAGCCTGAGTTCAAGTCCTTACTGTGTGAGTTTGTGCAGGTCACTCACCCTCTCTGAGCCTCTTTGTCCTCCTCTGAAAGGGAAAATCATCATGTCCACATCTAAGACTAGATAGGGTGCCCACGGATGCTGACCCCACCGTTGTGGTCAGCCATGGGAGCTACCAGTCTGCCAGCCCCTACTTGGGGCCTGGAGCTCTGATGCCCCCTGATGTCACCAGGAGAGTTCCCTGTGACCTGAGCCCCTGTCCCCAGCTCCTCCATCATTGTGCCTACAGGGCCCACTCTGGGCCTCACCAAGTGCTTCCACTTACCTCCTCCCACTGCCCCCATCCCTGAGGGTCTCAGTTGAGGGGCTGAGGGAGGAGCTGTCAGAGGACTCATCCCTGAACTAATGTAGTAAACATCAAGGAGTGAATCTTATCCATTAAGAGGGCCTAGATCCTCATGAAGACATACCCTCCTACATGCTTAAGAAAGCACACAAGCACACACACACACGCACACACACATACACACACATCCCAGCACATGCACGCACAGTTTGCAAGGGTTTGGTGACCAGCAACCCTGTAAACAGTATTGTGGGCTTCACCCCAGTGAATAAGTGTAGAGAGGATGGAGAAAGGCCTGGTCAGGGAGGGGGCAGAAGCAGGGATGCAGAATGTCCCCCTCACCTCACAGGGACTCTCCCACTCCCCCAGGGCTGGACAGACACAGAGGTAACAGCTGCTTGGGGGACTGCCCAGCAAGTGAGTGGATGGTCCCCCTGCGGTCAGGGCCTGGAGGATGTGGAAGCCAAGCCCCCTCCCAAGTCCCAGGGACAGGAAGCAGAGGCTCCCGGAAAGGTAACTGGGCCCGGCACCTGCCAGTCTATAAAAGGGCAGGGATAAGGAGCAAGTAGCCCAGGGAGCGGCCAGGAAAGGGGAGCAGGCCCAATGCCCTCTGGGAATCACCCCCTCCCTGCACCTCCCAGCTTTCCCTTGCTCACCTGGGGGTCCTGGGTGTCTCCGTGACTCCAAGGTGTTCTAAGCAGGCCTGAGTGTGACTGTGCCTGAGAGTGTCTGTGTGTGTTTGCGTGACCTTGACTGTGCACGTACATAGCAGGTGGTGGTGGCTCTACCGTACTATGATGAATGTACGTCATGTATGTAAATGTGTGTGACCATGTGCCTGGCACACGCATTCTGTCCCTGTGGCACCGTGGGGCATGGGATTGAGTGTGCCCTAATGTGTCTGCTCTAAGCTGTGCATGTGACCAAGTGTGGGTGGCATGTACCTCTCTGTGTTTGGAAACTGGGTGTACCTGGGGGCGTGGGGCTGCAATCGGTGTATGTGCTCACTGAGAATGCCCTGAGATTAGGGTATCGCCCAGAATACTTGTGGCTATTAAAAGAAGGCCAGCTGTCAGCCCAAGTGCCTATGGAACGGAATGTTGATGGTGATTAGAGAAGGCCATATTCTGGAACGCTGGAAACGCCGTGCACACAGGTCCTGAGGCTGCCCTGCCCCTCTGCTGACAGCTCCCCACCCTGCCCCTCCACTCACACCCACACCACACCCCCAGCTCCTGCCTTCCTTCCCCCAGGCTGCTCCCCTGCCTGTCCCAGAGAGGGGGAGCCCTGGGCTGCTCCCTGCAGTTGTGGGGCCCCTGCCTCTTCCAGCGTTCCCACCCCAGGGATCACCACTCACCAGGTGCCCCAGCCCTGAGCCCGGGAACTGTTCATGACCACAGAGGCCAGGGCAGAGGCTGGCAGCGTCCCCCAGGCTGGCCGGGCAATGATGAATGGCACTGTGCCTCTCCTGGAGAGAATACCGGGCTGGGGTGGGGCGCTGGGCAGAGAGGGACAGCACATCAGCCATCACCTAACGTGTGTGATAAGCACTGCCAATAAGGTATCAGCACACAGGGTGCTGAGAGCAGAGGCAAGTCCCCGAGGGCTCCCAGGAAAGGTGGAGGTAAAGCAGGGATTGCCAGGCAGGATGGGGCCGAGGAGCGGGGATTGGGCGGTTCAGGCTGAGGAAACAGCCTGTACAAACATAGCAGGGTGTCCCGGGACAGAATGTCTCTCTGTGACCCCAGGGGCAGCCAAGGGGCTCTGGGAGCTGGCGGTGGGGATGGAGGAGGGAAGGGGGCAGGAGGTGGTAGGAGCCATGGGGAGGCCCACTAGGTGCTGTCGTGAGGGGTCTCCAGTCACGAGCCTGGGGGACAGGGAGCCCTTGGAGGGCTTCGCGGGGCACCGAGGGGCTTGGTCAACTTAGCAGATTAGCCGGGCCTCCCCGCAGTGGCTGCGGAAGGACAGGTTGAGTGGAATGGGCCGGCAGAGAGAAGATGGGAGGAAGTCGGTAGGACAGGCAAGGAATGAGGCATTTAAGACCGCAGGGAGAGAGGAGACGCCGCAGCATGTGGAAGAGGACTGCAGGGAAGGGGGGGATCGGATGGTGGGGGTGAGGAGAGCTCAGTCCCGACCCCAGGAGTCCGAGAGCCCGGGGACATCCCAGAGGGACGGCCTGAAGGTGGCCTCGGACATCGCCTGGAGAAGGCCCAGCCCCCAGCCAGGACGAAACCTGGCCACACAGCCCCCCTCTGTCACGCGGTGCCCCTAAACACAGAGGGTCCCTGGGAGACTACTCCCAGTGGGATACTCCTTGAGCTAAACAAATGTCTGCTGTTTGCTTTCAGACCAAAGGGCTGCTCCCCAGCCTGGACCCCAGGATGTAGGGTGCCCATCAGTTTGTCTTTCTGGGACACACCCATGTCTCCTGGGACACACCTCCCCCTCACACACACACACACACAGACCCAGGATTACCCTGTGGGCCTGCGGGCTTTGGAAGAAGCCCTGTCACCCAAGCTGTGCTGGATTCGCGGCCCTGTACTGCAAAACTCCTGCTCTGCAAAGTGGTCTGCACCCACTCCTCAGCTCAAGAGCCCGCGCCCCAGGCTCAGCCTGAAGAGTGAGCCCCCAGGCCCTCCCGCGGCCCGGAACACAGACCTTCACTCGCTGGAACCCGTTACTCACCTCTGGCTTTCCCCCCAGAGTGCTGTTTCCACCATGGACCACCCTCTTCTGCACATGTGCATTTCCGGGCACACTCTCCTGTGTGTACATATTTGCATGCACACCAAGTGCACGAGTGCACACACTGCACCTGTGGTTTGTTTCAAATCAGTGGTCTAATTCACCCCAGGGTGTGTGGCTCTGGCAGGATGTAGAAAAATAAAAAGCAGAGAAGGTCTCCGACAAGCACAGTCTCTACCTATTGGTGCCACCGTGGGAGAGAGACCCAAGGCCTGGCCTCGATGCCGACAGCAGCCTCTCTTCCTCCTCTCCCTCTGTTCCCCACCTCATGACTTTCACTCCTAAAACCCCATCTCAAACTGCAGGGAACGGAGTGGAGGAGGGGCAAAGACCAGGCTTGCCCCTATCCCTACTCCCCCCGATGAGCTGCTGTTACTGGGAAGCAGGTCGCGCCCGGCTTGTGAGTACCAGCTGCTCTCTGGCTGGCTTTGGATCTCCCAGGGGAGGCAGATGGAGGGAGGCCGGCCTTCCCCTTTAAGAGCATCCTTCTTGCTACCCCTCCCTTTCGCCAGAGGCAGCATCAGGCATCAGGCGGGTGCTTGAGTCCAGAGAAAGAGCCTGCAGCTCCAGGTACGGCCTAGCCCAGGGTTCCCCATCCCTGTGCAGGATCAGCTCCTTCCTTTCCCCACACTGGTCATGCACTGCTGCTGGATCCTCACCAGCCTGGCGGGACAAACACCCTCCTCCCCTGGAGAGGAGATAAAGCTGGAGTCAGGGATGGATGGGGTGGGGCCTGGGGGAGGGGCAGGGGATGGGATGGGGGAGGTCAGGGTGCTGGCCGTGAGCTGCTGGCCTCCTGAGCCAGACCTAGGCAGGCAGGACAGCTGGGCTGCATGACACAGGGCAGAGGAGGTGGTGAAGTGGGGGAAAAAACACAGGTCCCTCCCTGGCTTTTCCACTTGATATTTCTGTGACCTTGGGCAAGTTACCAAATGCCCCTGTGAAGTGGGGACTCCTTCTTGTCATGCATGTTGTATGTGCTAGGCCCAGAGTTTGAGGTGGGGTGTTGGCAGCTGGGAACTTTCTCACACCCAGGCCAGTAGTGAGTCCTCAGGGCCCAGCTCAGGCCAGAGCCCTCCAGGAGGGCAGAGAACAGAGGGCCCAGTTGCCTTCCCCGAGCCTCAGTTTCCTGAGCAGTGTGGGCCTTGATCTACCTCCAGACCACACAGAGCCTGAGGTCTCTTCTGAGAAAGGGCTTCTGGAGGTATCTTGGCTCAAAGACCACACTGGCAGGAGTCCCGAGGGGCCTAGGCCCCCATCCAGAGCATACTGGCTCTGGGTTATGGACTGACCACAACACACACATTTTCCCCTCCCGGCCCCTTCTGGCCCCTTGTCCCAGCAGCTGAGCAAATGGCCTCTCCTCCCTGCCCCCTGCCCCCTGCCATTCCGGTGCAAAGGGCACGGGGGCCTGGCATGTAACACTGGCAGCTGGAGCTTTCCATGCTGCTGTCAAGTTTTCAGAGCACAAATGAGACAGGAGAGCCAGGAATAACTGCTGGGCCCCAGAGGGTCTGGAGGGTGGGGGCCTGCCCCAGACCTGCTTTCAGATCCTGCACTGAGGGTGCAGGCAGGGGACCCCCACTGCCAGCTTTGGGTATCAGGAGGTGCCTGCCACCACCGGCAGCCCGTTATCTGGCACGAGTCCCCATAGGAATGAGCTCAGACTCCAGTATGGCTTGGGTCTACTACCTGTGTGACCTTGGGGAAGTTACTTAACCTCTCTGAGCGGGACAAGTAGCAGCCCCTCAGGATCTGAGGAGATAATGGCGTGAAGGGTCCAGAGCTGAGCTTGGCCACGCCCAGAGCTGCTGCTATGATTATGATTGTTTTTATGGTTGGACAACTCTCTTGGGCCACCATGAGGATAAGAGGCAACTTCAGGGTCCTCACCAGGGAACACAGGGCAGCAAAGACCCAAGTCACAAAGCCCCTGGCCAAGGGAGCTCAGCCACGGTCTTCTGGGCAAGGGGGTGGGTACAGCCAGGCAGAGAGGGCAGCTGGGCATTCTGGGCTCTCCAGAGGGTGGAGGGAGCAAGGAGAGGAGAGCAGGGGGGCAGAGCATTATCACTATCCTGGCCAGGCCCCTCTCCTGCCCCCTGGGGGGTACTGGGTGCCGGACACCCCTCCCCAGGGCCTATATTAGCCTTGTGAGTCACAGTGGACCCGCTGGGAGGCCGAGGGCGGGCGGGCACAGTGTAGGGTTACAGTCCATTTATGGGAGCAGCAGAGGGCAGATATCAGTGTCGATGGCATTCGTTCCCAGCTATTCTTAGGAGCCTCTCAGGAGCTGCACACAGCCTGGCCAGGCAGAAAGGGACGGAGCAGGCAAGGCCGGGCGGTCGGGGGCAGGGGCCGAGGTACGGGCTGGGGGGGCAGGGTGCGTGAGGGTCCTCTCACTCTACTCTCCCTTCATCCGCAGAGGCCGCCGCTGTCAGCACCGGCATGTCTTACAGCGTGACCCTGACTGGGCCTGGGCCCTGGGGCTTCCGTCTGCAGGGGGGCAAGGACTTCAACATGCCACTCACCATATCCCGGGTGAGTGTGCACGGCCCACAGCCTAGAACCCACAGGGGCGGGGCATGCTCAAAGGAGGGTGTGTGCATCCATCCATCCATCTGTCTGTCCTCCCCGAGGCTCTTGGAAAGCAGAGCACACTTCCCTGGTCTGGGGGTGGGACTGGACCCAACTGGATACTGCCGGCCACAGGCCCCTGGTCTTGGCCACAGCTGTTGCCCACCCTAATTGGCTGGCCTATTATGAGTATGAAACATGGGCAAGCGGCTGGTGTTTTGAGCAGAGAAAGAAATGCCAAGTTTGCAGGCCAGGCAGGCAGGTGGACAGAAAGTACAGGGCCTTCCTAAGCCCTTCTCCGGGAGGGTGGGCTCAGGGTACCCCCCAAGCCTGGAAGTGGGCAGCTGCTTTGGAGAAAGAGCACTCCTAGCATGAAGAGGTCAGGTGACAGGCGGGCAGGTGGTTAGATGTACAGACTGCTGACCTCGGCTGCCCTGCTATCAGGGCTCGGAGCTGGGCTGGGCTGGTAACCGGTCTCCTGCATCCACTCCATCCCAGACCTGAGATAACAGCCACCTTCCACCCCCACCTTCCTGGGGCTGCTGTGGGACCTCACACTGGCTGGCTTCATGGAGCTGGGCCTTCCTCGCTTGCTGGGGGCCCTAGCCATTCACCTACAGCTGCTCTGCCTGCCTGTCTCAAGTCTGGTTCGCCATGCTCACCTGGGGAAATGGCCTGTGTGTTCTGCAGTGTCTGTGATCAGGGAATGGCACTGCCTGATGGGAATGTCACAGATCTTTGGAGATTGTCTGAGTAACTCTATTGCCCAGCTGGAGACACTGAAGTCCAGAGAAGCAAGAAGCTAGATCCGCTTGAGAGGAAGCGGTCTGTGAGAAGGGACTTTGTTTTAAACACTGCTGTGACCCTGGCACCTAGACCAGTACCTAGGATATAGTAGGTGCTCAGGCAACACTTATCAAGTAAAGGGAAGTCCAGCAGAGGGGCGCTGAAGGCCCCAAGGCTCAGGGTGGACTGTGAAAGGTACCAGGGCAAACACAACCCCTGCCTGGTGGGGTATGCTGAGACTGAGCCCCAGCAATGCTGGTGTGGGCACAAGGGGGCAGGCTGAGGCCCCAGGCTGTCACTGGAGGGTGATGGATGGGCAGGGGTGTCTGGGTCACTGCTCACCTGGAGACAGGGAGACAGTTTCTTCTCCAGGGCATGGAGACTTGCCTTGGGCCTGAGGGTGGGATGGGGAGGGCGGTGGGGAGGCACTGAGGTGGGCAGCCAGGGAAGGCCTGAAAGGTGCTTGGCAGAGGGGGCAAGGAGCCAATGTCCCCACTGGAGGCACAGTCCTGGCTGTGCAACCAAATGTGGACACTTGGGGGGACCCTAAGATGGAAAGCCCCACTCAGGGGTGTTATGGGAGCCTCACGACAGCAATAGCCTCACAACAGCCTCACAACTCCTCTGGGGTGCTGGCCTGGCTCTAGTCCAGGGAGAAGGCCTTGGCCGCCATCCTGCTG